CCAATTTAATTTTGAATAGATATAGACTTTTCTTGGTTTACTGTATTGGTAGCATGGCTTAGTGTAGTAGATTGTTTTTACCATTTCGTGGTCTGATATGCTTGATGCATTTTTTGTTGATTTTACTAGAGATGGTTTTGTAGTTAGCACTATATTTTTCTCTCTTGTTGGTAGTTCGTGAACTCGAGTTAAGTGAAGTGATGCTGTTAGATCCATTGCGTTTGGTTATAATTTCTTTATCATTTTCGATTTGGTTCACTGTCGTTGTTTCCCAGTTCATATCTGGACAGTTTAAATATCCTGTCAACATGATGTTGAATTGGTGTGTCTGGTTGCTGCCATGTTTAATGATTTAAAAATTCCTCTTCACTTTCATGTTTTGCTGGGGGATGTAAACAGAGCCGATCAGTAATTCTTGTATGCCTTAAAGCTGTATCTTAACGCATCCAATTTCGCAGTTTGTGACTAGTTCTGACTGTTCCATTGTTAGGATATCGTTATGGACTGGTATAAAGATTCCGCCCCCTTGTGTTCCCCAGGGATTTATATATGCTGTATAACCCTCTGGGAATACTTCGCTTGATTTGATTTCGTCCTGGTGGGATTTCCCCCACGTTTTCTGCTTTTAATCATGATTATGTACCACAAATTGCGTCCAGTTTGATGTAGCTTACTGCTGGTGTGAATTCTGGTGTTTTACCTTAAATGCTTCTGCAGAAAATAGTTAATATTCTGAGGTTTCGTTTTACTGATTAGTTAAAGATGTTTCTACTATTTGTTCTGTTCTTCTTTCTGAAGTTCTGACTGGTTGTTGATTGTGTTTTGACTTTTGACTACTGGTCTTTAACGGGCTATATATGCTTGATGATATTGATTCAAACGAGATGTAATGTGATGGTGGTTCATAATAGGTTGAAGTTTTTTTGAGTTCATAGTTGTGAAATGCAAAGGACGACACATTTGTACTGCATTTACATTTACAGCATAGCCATTGGACATTTGATAGAGGGTTGATGATCACAAGGAAGCTATTAAACCAAGAGTTCCAAGTGGTGAAGTTGAAGTCATCCCTTTCAAAAATTTTAAGGACGACATCACGAGTTGGTTGACCGTTACGGAATATCTGTTTCACAGATGACGACGGATATGTTCCAATCTTCGTAACCACAATCCCGCCCTTCCCTAATTGTGACTTACCGCCGTGTTTGTACTTACATGAGCAACACGACGGGTGCAGGACCAGGATCTGTTAACCCTTCCGGAGCACCTGAGATCACCCAGGAGTTTGGTGGGATTCGTGTTACTCAGTCTTTATTTTTCTATGTTGTGTTTTGTATACTGTTGTTAGTCTTTTGGTCTTTATCTTTTTTGCCATGGCCGTTGTCAGTTTATTTTCAACTTTTTAGTTTGAATGTCCCTTTGGTATCTTTCGCCTCTCTTTTTGATCTTTCTATGAGTTCATAGTCTGCTGTGCACAATTCGATGCATGATCTCAGTGCTGCCATATGTTACAATCTTCACAGCATACGCCCTTTCCATGTTACAGGATGGTCACATAGTCCACATGGGTAAACGCTTTGTTGTTTTACTCTTGGACCTACAGCATAGTATAGCCACAAAGTTTAAGTCGGTGATATGTTTTGTAGGTAATTTTAAAGGTAAATATGGATTGAACTGTTAACCGAGAATATGTCTTGTTGGCTACGTAACAAAGTCACAAACAGAGGGATTCTAATCTAATTTTTATTTAACTTATCTATAAACCACCATTGTAGAGGAACCTTATTTTCATATGTAGAACAGGTGCGCTCTTTATACACAGTGCTGGTACTCCCTCCACCATTTGACATTTAACATATGTACATGTGCAGAACGGGTTCTCTCTCTTTACGTACAGTGTTGTTACTCCTTCCACCATTCGACATATGTTGTGCACATATTTACAGTGAAGTCCTTCCTAGACACAATTTGCGTAAGTTCCGTTATTAGACAGTTTATCACTTGGGTCACTAAATTGCAGCTAAAGATTATGTATGTATTCAAGAAAAGTTTAAAAATTCGTGTTTACAGTTGCTTGTACTGTTCAATGGCTTAGTTTCCCCAACCACACCATCCCTTATATATGTTCTTTAATCATGCTGATAAGATAACGGATTCACTTATCTCATTGTCAATTCGCGCTAGAATTATTACTGACTGCATACCATCTTGTATCGGGTTATATGCAGCTCATATAGCAGGCGTCAAGTAAGGCGTTCTATTTGTACCACACTGACTGGAGATAAGTTCTTTGTTTTAAGATGTAATGTCCACAATATGACGTAGTTTTTCGTTGGTTTACAGTTCATCAAATTGAATTCCCATTGCGTTGAGCTTTGTAATTTGTTCGTGAAATATGGTATTCCTCACTTTTCTTAGGCTTTCAAATCTATAAATAAAGTGTTCTACATTTTCTTCTTCTTTTGCAGAAAACAGACATTTCGGGTCGATCTCGTCTTTGTACATTCTGATCCTTTTGCTCTGAAGGATATACGAGCATGTGAGTAGTTTTGATTTTACTGTCAATCTCGCTGTATCAATAGAAGAGCGACAGTTGATTTTGAACAGATGGGGTATATTTCTAGTTCTCAAGTTTTCAGCTGTTAAGAAATTGAGCCCTTTTTATAATGGCTGTAGCTGCACTCATGATCTATTCAAATGACTGCATATTGTCTTCTTGGTATTTGAGGTCCATTTGATCTTTTTTACTGGGTTGGTCAATTACGTGCTTGTCCCCTGCAGGTCATTCTTTTGTAGTGATTTTTTTACACTGTCTTCAAGCTGGTTGCAGATGTTGTTAATATACCTAATGCTCGGATGTGCAGTTGAGCTTCAAAAGGTAGTATTCCTTTTAAGATGTTCACGATTATGTATGCTACACAGGTACAGGTTGCACTTTGTAAATACAGCTGTTTCTCAAACCACGCCTCTTTTGGGGAGATATATAATATTCATAGATATGTTAATTTGTTAACGTACTGGTTCCCATTTATTATCTCTGTGTTTCATCTCATAGAGACATCACTTGGGAATGTAACCAGTATAGAAAAACATGGTAGCGCCTAAATTTTAATTCTTAGGAGGTCCAAAAATGAAGGTAAGGTTAGTATAGAATTTTAGTATAAGTTTAAACTCTTAGAAGTTCAGGGCATATAGATGTTGAAAATATGCCGCACAGCCCTATATTTTGACCTTTGAATAAAATAGTAGTGCATATAAACTTTCCGTTGTGGGATATTATTTTTCACGAAACTTCATGGTAAAAGTGTCACAGTTTTACCCGCAAAGGGAGTTCCTATGGGAAATTGCATTGTCTATATTTACAGAATTGCAACCTATATGAGGTAGAAAGTATTTGCTTCAGGAGTTTTTCTGGAAGTTTTCAAGAAGTGTTAGCTAGCTTGTTGATTGTAGTTTTAGCTCTAATCCATATAGTAGTACTGGAGAGATGTGTGAATTGTATAAGTGCACCATTGTCTCTACATCAATTGACTTACATCTAGAAATTGATAATAAAGGTCGGTTGAAAACAAAACTTTACGACAAAAGAGATGATTTCAGCTTCCCAATTGTGAACTTTCTATTTCTATGTAACAACATTCCAGCAGCTCCTGCATATGGAGTGTATACATCTCCCAGTTGATACTATATTCAGGGCTTTTATTTCCAATCATGATCCTCTTATTAGAGGTTTGCTGCTCACAAGGAAGCTATTAAAACAATCTACAAATGATATATTCTGGCGAAACATTCATTCCTGTCCTGCCAGTGTTGGTACCTCCAATCAAGATATTAGCCGTCTCCAACCAAAATTAAAGTCGTTAATATGAACTTATTATCTACAAAGTAATAACGGCTGCATTCAACCAAAATGCAGTAGATCCAACTTGTCTTGTCTGCAATGAAAAGTCAGAACTGTTGAACATTTTCTTTTAGAATGTAAATCTATGCATGATACTCGTATGCCATACCTGCGTGTATTAAACAGCTGTCTACGTAGTTTTATGAACTGTGCTAAATGCTTTAACTTAACTAGTGTAGTAATAGATAGCTTATTTTAGATCCAAGTAGACTATTATGCGCTTGAGACTATACATGCAAATGTACTGACAATTGCTTTAAAATAGACTATATAACCAGGAATCCCTGCTTTGCCTTACATTGTCCAAAGAAATGAACTATTGAAGACCTTATTGTCTAGCAAACGAATAGGTCAACGACTTATCCAACATGCACCCCACGGGGCTTATTCTTTTTTTTATTTTTGTATATATCCTTCAAATGTCTATGTAAATATAGACCTGTAAATATAGTCTTGAACTTTTAACCAATTCTAAAAAGAAGTGCTCCTTTGAAGGAGGGAATTCCTTATACAGATATGGACATGGAAACCTTCCCAAGCAGCCTAAAAGCACATTGTCTCGGTCTTTTTATATACTTTCTTCCCCATTTGATGTCATGTTGGCTTTCAGTGCTGTAATTCTGATGATTCCTAAATGATGACATATTGTTGGGACCCATTTTAAAGTTCTTTCTGTTAGTTTCCTGTTAACGCTGTTTGATGTAATCACAACTATATAGACGTATTTACACTTGTATGCAAACTTGTCCGCCATTACGTAAAATCACACTGGTTCCCGTAAACTTTTACATCATAATTCAAAACATTAAAAAGTGATTGTTGCCTGACGTCCAAAGGTGATTCGGAGTGGATCTAAGGTCATTCGGAGGCAAAATATAGCTAAATACCAAAAGTGTAAATGCATCTATTGTAAACCACCTCAACAGAACACTTTATACTTGTACGGGACGGACAGAATGACGGACGGGCGCTTTACTCTTTAAACTAATTTAATTTAACAGCGAATAATAACCATAGTAAATATGTCCGTTTGATTCCTTTATTGAATATTTTTTTATGTAGGTACCTGGTCAGACCATTACTCGACACAATTTTTAAAGTTTCTTTCCCCGCATGTTTTATCCCCACAGAAGGTCAAAATGGCGAGTCGATTTTGTCGACTTTTCCGACCTGCTGCAGTAACAAAGTTGTACCGAACACAGTGTAAGGGCAAATGCATTTAATTATAATAAGTTTAAATATTTTCTACATTCGGAAATGAAGCCTTTGTTAAATTAGAAAAAAATAGAAATACACAATTTCTTCTTCTTTTGTAAGTTTGTCGGATAATGGCTAAAATCAGCATCTGATTCTTGTAAATTTCATTCACATAGCTGATTAGCTAGTCCAAATAATTGTGACATCTTGAAAGGCTATTTTATTTTTTTGCTTTGACAACTTCCTTGGACAAAGGAAGGCGTCATAGCAAAAAGATAAAATAGCCTTTCAAGACAGCAAGACGTCATAATTATTTAGACTACTGATTAGCATGGTCACTTATAGAAAAAAGGCATTTATTTCTTTCAGAACAAGAAAATTAAACATTCATTTTGGGCTAAGTATAAACATCATTGCTGTATTAACGATACACTGGCATATATCAAGTCAGTTGGCAGTCCTATAACATAAGCCTTCGTAGGTTCATATCGTTTGCTTTCGATGTTTTTTATCGGAATTTGTTTTTTACTTTCAATGCCGAACCACAAAGTCTTGTAGGAATTAGCTATTTTCTCGTAGTATGTTCCCAACGAATTTTTGTGGGAACTTTGAATATGTTGAATGGTCATTTGACAATGTTTTCAACAATCTTACAGTAAGTTTATTTCTGTCATTAATCATGTTAATATTATAGATAAATGTCTTAAATATTAAATGAATTTTTTTACAGTATCAGATGATGGTGGTATATCCTATTTTGAAACACTTTTTTAACTGTTCCCCCCTCCTTTCAAATTGTCAACATGGTCAAGTGGATAATGTACGAGAAGTTCCGAAGTCTTTCCGAATGAATAATCAGTTGTATATATCAGACCTGCCAACTATCCCGATTTTGGCCACATCATCCAGACTTTCATGGCTCAACCCGAATCCCGATATCTGGATCGTAAAACAAGTAAAAATCCTGATTTTCACAACACGAAAAAATTATTGGTTACCGATTTTGATGATTTTCTGATCAATTTCTATAAATCTATAATTTCACCTGGTGACATATTCATGACAAGTTTACGACCCTACACTAATCAACGGTCACAGCAGGTGTCATAATTTGTTGTTACAGGTAAATCTTCTTATCTGATGGGTCATAATGATCCTCAAAATTAATTAATTTAACAGAATCGGTCAGTCGGCATTTCAATTTTAATCAATTTATCATTCGATCACAATTTGCAAAGTTTACTGTACATAAATATGCTGTAGTTTCTTGACAAAATCATAATTAACTGAAAGACGAAAACTGTAAGCGTTTATCTTGAAATCTGTTAAATTTTTTTAAATCAGACATGTTTCTGTCCAGTTCTGATTAAAAATCGACGCCATTTTGTATTATTGTGTATAAGCCTCCGCTGTAAAGAGCACCTCTGAACACAAAGAAAGATAACTCAAATTTTATCCATTTTTTCATTAATACTGATAGACTAACTCAAGATCTGTTTTCATCCTTCTAACTTTAGGACCTTTAGGTTTATATCTTTTGAATTATGGTGCAAAGATAAGAAGGTCTTTGGAGGGGGAAAGGGAGGGGGTGTCTTCACCTTGTATCCATTATTTTAGGCCATTTTTCTATATTAAGTTTTTTTGCCAATTGATAAACTTATACAAGAATTATGCAAATAAAAGAAATCAAGGATTATTAGCTCATCATCAGTACACTGTATACCAAAAGAAAAAGGATATATGAGACTAGAAGTGAATTTTCTGTCGTCCTGATGATAATAGAAATTATCAGTATAATCAGTTTACTCAAGAGAGACGGTTGGAAAATAAAGTATCTGTCCTATGAAAACAAAGGACAATGCTGGAAATATTTGTCTATGTAAAGTGATAAACGCAAAAACTCAGTCTTTCCAAAGGTTTTTCAGTTTTTTCAGGACATCTGGTCAGGTAATGATCAACTTTTTTCAGGACCGAATTAACTTTTACCAGACCGAACATTTTTTGCAAAAATATAACAAATACATAATATTCTTTTACAGACATAATAAGATGATAAAATTTAATAATAATTTATATATTATTGAATTCAGTCTACAAATATATAATATTTTATGACAGACTTCAAACAAGATGATAAAATTTAATAATAATTTATATATAATTGAATTCAGTCTCTTGCGAAGTCAAGCAGTAACATCCAATTATGTTCTTCATTAATAAAATTCTCGCAATACTTTTAAACATCATCTATATCTTTGTTGTTCATTAACAGTTCTTCGACAATTTCAGATTCATAAAATGGTTCTGAAATATAAACATAACAATAGTTTAATGACATAAAAATGCCACAAAGAATTTGAAAATAATATGTGTTAAATATCTAATGTGTTTCAACATGTTCAAAGGAAAATGCACTCATGATAAATTTCATATAATATTTTTTTATAGTATAAAAGCAATACATTTTAGATCAAAATTTATTAATGGATGCTCTAAATTATCTGCAATATATTTAATCAAACCTTCTGGTAAACTGTCAATTTCTTCCACTGTGTCCACTGTTTCAGTAGTTTCTGAATTTTCTGTTTCATCATCAGTTGTTGCCTCTTTTCTTCGTACAGCTTTGATCTGGATATCTTTGCTTCAGCACTATCTTCGGCTTTTCTTTTTAGCTTTTCCCGGTGCAGCATCCTCATAACATCGAAGGAAGCTCATGACATCTAATCTATTTTATTTTGACTTTGCCGGTATACCGGAAGTAAACTAAAAATTCTAACAATGGATTTTTTCCGGACTTCCAGTCTGGCGATTTTTGAATTTTTTCAAGCCTGGCAGTTTTTTACTGGCGATGTCCGTCGGTCCGACGGACATTCGGAAAGACTGAAAAACTCATATTGATTCTAGGACTAATTCGATCTATACTACAGACACCTTTCATTATTCATTTTAAACAAATCATGAAGTGAATATTGCATGTAAGGATATTACCTGAATTAATATAGAATCCTGTCAATTCATGCACTGCACAACAGGGATGGGCACGATTACTGACAAATGTAATCGATTAATAATCGATTACATGAAGGATTTTTGTGTAATCGATTAATAATCGATTACTTTGATTTTTGTATGTAATCGATTGCAATCGATTACTTTATCAAAAGTAATTACATTACTTTTCGATTACTGTCAATTACATGCTACAAAATTACAAAAAAAATAATAAAGTAAGTTAAACACAATATTGTTGCTCAACGTTTGTATAGTGGAAATTTAGAACTTTACCAAAAACAGCATTTAAAGCATTGTTTCCAAATTTTAAGTTGACAGTTGTTTTCTAGATGGATTCTCTTACTGAGGATCAGAAATATTCAAAAATTCTTGAAATTTTGGCTTTCAACATGAATGAGAGATGACATCGCATTGCATCAAACACTTATCTATATTGTAGATTTTTTCATAAATTTTGCTTTCATACTGACTTAAGTTAGCTTTTTGTTTTTAACTAATTAAAAACAGGTATATTTTAACATAGTTAATTACAATGTTGGAATTTTCCTCTGAAAAAAAATGTAAAAAAGGTAGAATAATTAATTAGTTCAGCTAATTTTAAAGATCGAAATTTATAATTATAATGACATGCATGAATTAATCCTTTTGTTTGGATAACCACCCTAATTACAGGTTATAAAACTGCCAATGGAGTACACTTTATAACCTGGGGCAAAATAATGTAAATCTCCTTCTTAGTATATGTAAGAGAATGATAATCCCTTTCTTCATGAATAAGTACGAGCGTTAGCGAGTACTTATCATGAAGTAAGGGATTATCATTCTCTTACAAACTTAGAATATTGTAAAGTGCTCAAGGCTCAAATGATCTATTCACTGAGAATTAGTTTCGTTGTCAGTGCAATGTTTATAATTGATGCATGACTTCCTGTTTCGACATGTCATTTATGGATAAGTTTTAGTGATGTGAGGACTTTCTTATCATTTGGGAAATATTTTTAAAAAAAATGCGTTATAGAACAGTAGAAAGAAAATGTATGAATTGTATGTTTCCTGATTGTGAGTATGAATGTAAATCATGTAATATTTTAGTGAGGAATTATCCTGTTTTATTTACAGTTTAAATCAACTAATATATTAGAGTTACAACTAAATTTTATTTCACAGCCAATAATTTGGTCCGGCTTTTCACATCAAATACTGTTTCATTATGTCAGGGAAATGCTAAAAAATAATGCCCTTAAAAGTTTTTAATATGTTTAAAATTTAATTCCTGTTTTTTATCGGAATAATTGTATTGGAAATAACTATTCTCCCCAACCACTGATCAAGTAATCAAAATTTTGGAAAGCTAAAGATTTAGGTTATTTTTTATCTGAAAGATTTTTTTTCCTTTTTTTTTTGCATTGCTTTGGTAATGTTTAATTTTATAGTAATTTGAAGTTATTAATATTTTCATAATAAAATTCACGGTACCAATTTTACTGCACCAGTAAACTTCAACTTATTTTGAGATTTTTGTTTGTTTCACAATTCAACTTTTAGTCAGTTTCAATCACTCTGTGATAAATCCTTTCAATCTGATAAATGTGCTTCGGGGCAGTTGTAACTCATTTATAGAAACTCTTTGTTTTGAACTGTAAATAGACCCAAATAATAGGATAATCCCTTACTAAGAACATGATTTACATTCATTCTTCACAATTAAGAGGCATCCAATTCTACAATTTCATTGGTCGAGAGTACTTTGCTATATTCTAAATAAGAAATAATTGAAAAGAAAACAAAGTCTGCATCTTATTGATTAGGAGTCTTTGATCATCTGATTAGTAGAGACAAGAAGTTTGTTTAGATTTTTTTATTCTCTATTCAATTTATAAACAATATATATTTATAGTGTCAAAATGGGATACATGTATCTATTTCTGAAAAAGAATTTCAATGCATAGCCATTGGTTCATTGTTGTAAGGATTTTGTGTACTTTCTCAATTTTTGTATCATAACATTATAAGGAATCAACTGTGTATCTATTCTAAGCTAAAATTTCAACTCTTATTGAAAATTATGCTTTAAGGAATTTAAATACAAGTAAACTTACTACTTTAATGTAGTACAGAACTTAACTTAAGACTCATTTCTTATTTTAAATCTATTTTCTTATTTTAATATAAAAGGTCTTGAATTATTGACAAGCACATAAATTCATTTGTTTCAAAAGCTAGATATAAAGTAAAATTTGGTAGGGGTTCTGGTTGATCATATTGCAGCTTGAGACAAAAGATAGAAATAAGGCAGTTGATAAACTCTTCAGTCATTTTAATACATTCTACTTTTATCCGTACTATAACGTGATGAAAACATACATATTTTCATTTAATATATGTTATATTTCATCAAACTGTTTTACTAAAGTAATCGAAATGTAATCGAAAAGTAATCGATGATTACATCATAATTTTTGCTGTAATCGATTAAATTACGATTACATGTAATCGAAGATGTCTTCGATTACAGATTACTGTCGATTACTGGAAAAAATGTAATCAATTACAATCGATTACGATTACAGATTACGATTACCCCATCCCTGCTGCACAAAACATTTTTCTAAAGGTTTGCAAATAACGATCAGAAATTGCAATATAACAATCCAATCAAAACTATTCAAAGAGAGAAACACACAAATTGACATTGCATAGGAATATTGAAAGCTTCAGATCCTCCCAAATCTATACATGTCTATAAGTGTCTATTTTTTTTTTGTTAGGGATGAGGGATGGATAAATACCCTGCAACGTCCGTTCTGTGTTTTTGTTTGATGTTTTTCTGCTTTGTGTCGATCTGAGCCTTTTTCAACTGATTTTTGATTCAGCCATGCTGGATCTATGCGATCACTCTGGTTTTGGAGATGGTGCAGAATACTAAGTTGAAGACATATCATGAAACTAATTATGTGTTTTTATGACTTGCAGAATCTTTCTACACCATTTTAATCATCAACTGCAAACTTTTGACATGTTATTTGCCCTTAAATTAAGAAAAGATTGGTAGAATAGTGACTTTATTTTAGATATACACTTGCATATAGTTCCTTTCTAAATCAAAATTTATGATGATTTACTATTTATGAATTAATTTGAAAAAGTATTTGAACACCAATTGAATCAGTAGATAAGAATTTTGAAAGTATTATATTAGTATCTTGTGTTTGTGTAAATTATTGTTCAACGAAATGTAGGTCAACATGTGTATTAATATATTTAAGTTGATTCCCACACTTTTTTTGAAATGGTATTACTCCAATTCTTTCCATAGGCAAGTAAGAGTCAGAATGATTATTAACTGTCATGATTTTCAAAGAAAATACTTAAAATGAAAAAAATATGTATAAAAAATGCAAACAAATTTTATTTTACTTGTAAAATCAGTGCAATTATCATCTGACATAAGTCAATAATCAAGTTCTAATTAATTAGTTACAATAATCAGAAATTTGGTTGAAATATTAAATAAAAATTGCATACAATGTAACTCTCACCTGAGCATTTTCTGCAATAATATTTATTTGTTTGTTTTACATTTATCATGTTTATATCCCATTATATTGCTATTTGACAGTAATTGGAAATATCTCAGCATTAGGTATTTGTCCATTCAGATTTTAATACAGGAAAGGTATTTTTTCTTAATGAAGAATGAACACCAATTTAGATAAAAAATAGTTATTATTAGTCCCCTACCGAGGAAGTCGAAGGGGACTTTAGGTTTGCACTCCGTCCGTCTGTCTGTCTGTCCTTCTGTCAGTCTGGCAAATCAGTTTTCCACACTTTTTTTCTAAATGCTTGAAGATATTGATTTGATATTTAGTATATTGTTTAATCATAACAAGTTACAGATCAAGTTCGAATTTTGTTCCGGTCTGATAATTTTGTGCAGAGTTATAGTCCTTGGACTTAAAAAATTCCCTCAAATATTCAGTTTTCCGCACTTTTTTTCATCATTCTTGAAGATATTGATTTAATAATTGGTACATTGTTTTATCATGACAAGTTACAGGCCAAGTTTGAATTTCCTTTCTGTTTGATGATTTTTTGCAGAGTTAGGGTCCTTGGACTTAGAAAAATCACTTAAATTATCAGTTTTCCGCACTTTTTTTTGTCATGCTTGAAGCTATTGATTTGATATTTGGTATATTGTTTTATCATAACAAATTACAGATCGAGTTCGAATTTTGTTCCAGTCTGATAATTTTGTGCAGAGTTATAGTCCTTGGACTTAAAAAATTCCGTCAAATATTCAGTTTTCCGCACTTTTTTTCGTCACCCTTGAAGATATTGATTTAATAATTGGTACATTGTTTTATCATGACAAGTTACAGACCAAGTTTGAATTTCCTTTCTGTTTGATGATTTTTTGCAGAGTTAGGGTCCTTGGACTTAGAAAATTCACTTAAATTATCAGTTTTCCGCACTTTTTTTCGTCATGCTTGAAGATATTGACTTGATATTTGTTGCATACATGTAGTTTACACCATGACAAGTCATATATCAAGTTAGCATTTTGTTCCAGTACAACTAATTTTTAACCGGTAGGGGACTATGTATTGCCATGCAATACTCTCAGAATGCTTGTTTTTTTTTATTTTTGTTGTTGAGAAAGTGCATTTATAAGGACTCTTTCTGGAAATTATTAAACCTGTCATTATTAAAGGCATATAAAAAGTATGTTACTTGTTTGACGATTTTCCTTTCCATTCTTGTCAAAAATAAAATCTGACCGAGTCTAAAATTGAAAGATCAGTATATATATCTATATTTGCATCAATATTGCGAAATTCCCTACCTTTGGACAATAACATAGAAATTTTACAGTAAGATTGGAAATGAAAAGAGAAAAAAATTTAGAAAAAAGTATGGTCAGAAAGAATATGAGACTAGCTATGAATATGGCTGGATCACAGCATCAACGATGCTTTGATTACAGTTTGTTCTTATGTTGTGCTGTTACACCACTGGCCAAGGTAAGGGGGAAGGTTGAGCACTCACAAAGCTGATTAACCCAACCACACTATGTGCCTGTCTCAAGTCAGGAGCCTTTAGTTCAGTGGTTGTCATTGGTTCATGTCTGTCATATTTGTTTTTCGTAAATTATTTTTTAATAAATTAGGCCATTAAGGTTATGTTTCTCAATTGAATTGTTTCATATTTGTCATGCCGACTATACGGTATGGCTTTTTATACGACCGCAAAAAAATTTTTGTGGTCGTATATTGATATGACGTTGGCGTCGTCGTCCGAAGACACATTAGTTTTCGCACTCTAACTTTAGTTTAAGTGAATGGATCTCAATGAAATTTTACCATAAGGTTAAATACCACAAAAGGAAGGTGGGGATTGATTTTGGGGGTTATGGTACAAACAGTTTAGGAATTAGGGGCCAAAAATAAGCATTTTTGTAACTTCCAGACATAACTTGTGTGTAAGTGTATGGATCTCTCTGACATTGTACCACAAGGTTCCATATCACAAAGGGAATGCTGGGATTGATTTTGGGGGTAATTGCCTCCAAATTTTAGGAATGAGGGGCCAAAAAGGGGCAAAAAACAAGCATTTTTCTAGTTTCATGACAATAACTTGTGTGTAAGTCTATGGATCTCTCTGACATTGTATCACAAGGTTCCATATCACAAAGGGAATGCTGGGATTGATTTTGGAGGTAATTGCCTCCAAATTTTTGGAATTAGGGGCCAAAAAGGGGCAAAAAACAAGCATTTTTCTAGTTTCATGACAATAACTTGTGTGTAAGTGTATGGATCTTTATGAAATTGTACTACAAGGTTCCATATCACAAAGGGAAAGCTGGAATTGAGTTTGGGGGTAATTGCCCAAAAAGCTTAGGAATAAGGGGCCAACAAGGGGCCAAAAATAAGCATTTTTCTAGTTTCCAGACAATAACTTGTGTTCAAGTGTATGGATCTCTCTGAAATTATACTGCAAGGTACCATACCACAAAGGGAAGGCTGGATTTTAAGTTTGGGGGTAATTGCCCTAAACGTTTTGGAATTTGGGGCCAAAAAGGGGCAAAAAACAAGCATTTTTCTAGTTTCCAGACAATAACTTGTGTGTAAGTCTATGGATCTCTCTGACATTGTATCACAAGGTTCCTTATCACAAAGGGAATGCTGGGATTGATTTCGGAGGTAATTGCCTCCAAATTTTAGGAATTAGGGGCCAAAAAGGGGCAAAAAACAAGCATTTTTCTAGTTTCATGACAATAACTTGTGTGTAAGTGTATGGATCTTTCTGAAATTGTACTACAAGGTTCCATATCACAAAGGGAAAGCTGGAATTGAGTTTGGGGGTAATTGCCCAAAAAGCTTAGGAATAAGGGGCCAACAAGGGGCCAAAAATAAGCATTTTTCTAGTTTCCAGACAATAACTTGTGTTCAAGTGTATGGATCTCTCTGAAATTATACTGCAAGGTACCATACCACAAAGGGAAGGCTGGGATTGATTTTGGGGGTAATTCCCTCAAAATTTTAGTAATTAGGGGCCATAAAAGGGCAAAAAAAAAGCATTTTTCTAGTTTCAGGACAATAACTTGTGTGTAAGTGTATGGATCTTTATGAAATTGTACTGCAGTGTTCCATATCACAAAGGGAAAGCTGGGTTTGAGTTTGGGGGTAATTGCCCTAAACGTTTAGGAATTTGGGGCCAAAAAGGGGCCAAAAAACAAGCATTTTTCTAGTTTCCAGACAATAACTTGTGTTCAAGTGTATGGATCTCTCTGAAATTGTACTGCAAGGTACCATACCACAAAGAGAAGGCTGGGATTGAGTTTGGGGGTGATGAATCATAAGGGGGTTCAAAAAATTTGGGGGGGGGGGATTTTTTTTTCCCTTTTTTTTCTTTCAAATTTTCCATTTTAAATTTGTTATTTCTGATTTATATATAAAAGCAAATAATAATGATATGGTTTGAATAGGTAAATTAAAATTTTTTAAGTTCTTAGACCACTTTCATTCTGTGTCAGAAACCTATGCTGTGTCAAATATTTAATTACAATCCAAATTCAGTGCTGTATCAAGCTTGAATGTTGTGTCCATACTTGCCCCAACTGTTCAGGGTTCGACCTCTGCGGTCGTATCAAGCTGCGCCCCAGCGGAGCATTTTATTCTTGTTGTTGAAGGCCGTAGGATTGCCTATAATGTCTTACATCTACTTTATTTGAACTTTGGTGGATAGTTGTCTCATTGGCAATCATACGACATCTCCTTATTTTTAGCTCACGTGGCACGAAGGCGTCCGTCAAGTCCGGTTTAAATCACCAACCTTTATTAAAACTAATTTTTCTCTTTTCTTTATCCAAGTGAAATACCCCAGGACTTGTAGAGCATCAACAAAATTTATCTTGTCAAAGTATTTAAGCATCATCAGAAATTAATATCAGTCTATGTTCAATGTTGTGTTTTGTGGACTGCTGTTTGTCTTGTCATCGTTTTTCACTTCTTTTGCCATGACTTAGATAGTTTGTTATGGACTTTTGATTGTTTCTTTGGTATATTTCATTTCTCTGTTATAATAAATAGTGATTAAAAAAAACTAATTCATTTTTTATACGACCGCAAAAATTAAAAAAAATTTGGTCGTATATTGGTATCACGTCGTTGTCGTTGTCGTCAGCGTCGTCCGAAGACAGATGGTTTCCAGATAATAACTTTAGTATAAGTAAATAGAAATCAATAAAATTTTAACACAAGGTTTATAACCACTAAAGAAAGGTTGGGATTGATTTTGGGGGTTATGGGCCCAACTGTTTATGAATTGGGGGCCAAAAAAGGGGCCCAAATAAGCATTTTTGTAGTTTCCAGACAATAACTTGTGTTAAAGTGTATGAATCTCTCTGAAATTATACCACAAGTTTTCATACTACAAAGGGATGGTTAGGATTGACTTTGGGGGGTTATGGCTCAAACCATTTAGGAATTAGGGGCAAAAAAAGGGGGAAAACAAGGGTTTTTCTGGTTAAAGGACAATTGAGACAATTTAAAAGCAGTGTAAGGGAGGTAATCCAAATCAATTTAAATAACAATTTGATTACCTTCCTTACACTGCTTGTAAATTATGTATTAAGAAATGATGATTGTCTGAGATACTGACCATAACTTGAGGGAAAGTTTTTTTTTTTGGAATAAGTGAAAGGGGGGAGGTGAAAAAAATTGGAGGGGGACAATTTTTCTCATTTCAGATTTTAGAAATTAAAAGAAAATTTCTTCAAATATTTTTGTTTAGGGGGTTAATATTCAACAGCATAGTGTATTGTACAAACACAAAAAAACAGGAAAAAATTTTTTTTTTTTGGGGGGGGGTGTCAATTTGCATAGTGTATTGCACAAAAGCAAAAAATTGAATATAAACCAATTTGAAGTTCTATGACTACAGTTATTCTGTGTCAGAAACCTATTATGTGTCAAAAATTTAATAACAATCCAAATTCAGACCTATATCAAGCGTGAATATTGTGTCCATTTTGGCCCCAACTTTTCAGGGTTGGACATCTGCGGTCGTATCCAGCTGCGCTCAGCGAAGCAATTTATTTTATAATGGTACGAGCAGTCAATTCTTATTCATTTCAAAACTGAAACCAGTAGTGGTAAATGTTTATATGGATAGAAATAAATTGAAATTATTTTGCGAAGATAACATTTATTATTTTATTGATGCAGTGTATATGTTTCAATATCAGATTGCTCGTGTTTCCTTTGTTGTACCGTATAGCGGGTTATTTTTCGAGGGTGTAAAATTTCGCGATTTAGGGGCAACAAAGTATACGAAAAATTTTGGCGGTTTTTATTTTGGCGGATTCATTAATCCCTATTAAATATTTTGGCGGATACTGAAATGGTTGCAATTAAAAGTTGTAAAAATTGACAAGAGATAGAGAGATAAGATAAATAATAGTTTATTTAAGTGTCACATATTAATCTATAATAAAAGTATCTATGTTATGGTTAAATGATTGTTTTACCTGCATGAATTCTTTATATTTATTGATTCTATTTTGATACAGTTAATCAATAGAATACCGGTACTTAGATATTTGTCACAGGTGTACAAACCTCTGGTAAATGTTATGGTTGATAAGTTACGAAATTGACCGGACCTTTGATGTACTAATTAGATCATAAAATTATCATGAGTGACTTTCGATCATATATAATTTGACACTAATTAATAAGGATAAAATACCTGACAGAATACCTTACACTCTAATATTATTAATTATTTTATTATGTAACCAATTAACTAATTAACACCTGACAGCCTGGGAACAATGACCTTTCACATTTATGTTGGTTAAATTAACACAAACCATTATTGATTTGACAAACGGGAAAAATAGAGTTTATAAAACGCTTTAGCTATTAGAAAGTACCGAACGTATGCATAAATTTTCGCGGAATTTAATTTCGTGATTTCCCCTTACCCGCCAAAATAAGCGAAAATAAACACCCCGTGAAAATAACCCGCTATACGGTATTCCCCCAATGGTGACTGAGGAATAGAATGTGGTCACTTTTGTCTGCCTCCGACCGACAGTAAAACCCTTTCATAAGTGGCTGTGCGGGATGTATAGGTACACAGTCACGTCCGGTCAGAGTTGAAAGTGGCTCGTGTAGAGAGAGCGCCATGCTCTCTGAATGGCAAGAACAAATGCAACATTCTCTTTGAGGGGTCCGTAGGTGGACTGTTGCAAAGCAAAATTGCTGTCCCTATCCAAAATACCCTCATTTTCCAGGGGCAGTCCAAATTTCCCCAACCTTCATCCCGGTGGACCCCTATTACTGAACCTATCTATTGTTTCATCACTATGTACTGAGTATTGTTAATTTGTTCTCGTCCTGAACATGCATTAAATATTTGCCACAGGACGTTAAGCGATCAACAATCAATCATCCAATGTTGTACAAAAAATACTTTAAATACATGTATTACCAAAAAATTCACTTTATTTACGTATTCTTAAAAACATGAAAAATTTAGAATCGACACATTTTTATATGACCGCAAAAAAAATTTTGTGGTCGTATATTGGTATGACGTTGGCGTCGTCGTCGTCGTCGTCCGAAGACACATTAGTTTTCGCACTCTAACTTTAGTTTAAGTGAATGGATCTCAATGAAATTTTACCATAAGGTTCAATACCACAAAAGGAAGGTGGGGATTGATTTTGGGGGTTATGGTACCAGCAGTTGAGGAATTAGGGGCCAAAAAGGGGCCAAAAATAAGCATTTTTGTAACTTCCAGACATAACTTGTGTGTAAGTGTATGGATCTCTCTGACATTGTACCACAAGGTTCCATATCACAAAGGGAATGCTGGGAATGATTTTGGGGGTAATTGCCTCCAATTTTTAGGAATTAGGGGCCAAAAAGGGGCAAAAAACAAGCATTTTTCTAGTTTCATGACAATAATTTGTGTGTAAGTCTATGGATCTCTCTGACATTGTATAACAAGGTTCCATATCACAAAGGGAATGCTGGGATTGATTTTGGGGTAATTCCCTCCAAATTTTAGGAATTAGGGGCAAAAAAGGGGCAAAAAAACAAGCATTTTTCTAGTTTCATGACAATAACTTGTGTGTAAGTGTATGGATCTTTCTGAAATTGTACTACAAGGTTCCATATCACAAAGGGAAAGCTGGAATTGAGTTTGGGGGTAATTGCCCAAAAAGTTTAGGAATAAGGGGCCAAAAATAAGCATTTTTCTAGTTTCCAGACAATAACTTGTGTTCAAGTGTATGGATCTCTCTGAAATTGTACTGCAAGGTACCATACCACAAAGAGAAGGCTGGGATTGAGTTTGGAGGTGATGAATCATAAGGGGGTTCAAAAAGTTTGGGGGGGGGGGGGGTTCCTTTTTTTTCTTTAAAATTTTCCATTTTAAATTGGTTATTTCTGATTTATATATAAAAGCAAATAATAATGATATGGTTTGAATAGGTAAATTAAAAAATTTTAAGTTCTTAGACCACTTTCATCATGTTCATTCTGTGTCAAAAACCTATGATGTGTCAAATATTTAATTGCAATCCAAATTCAGTGCTGTATCAAGCTTGAATGTTGTGTCCATACTTGTCCCAACTGTTCAGGGTTCGACCTCTGCGATTGTATCAAGCTGCGCCCCAGCGGAGCATTTTATTTGAAGTAAAATGGTGAGATGAAAAATGTTTGTCAACTGAGGATAAAAAAGGATGGATTAGGAAAATAATTTTGCAATATAAATATGGCATTAATAGTAAAAAGCAAATTCCGATAAAAACGTTGAAAGCAAACGATATGAACCTACGAACATTCGTAAGTCAGCTAATTCCATTGAATGAAGCTGCTCTGTCTATTGGAACTGCAAGCTTGACACAAAAGTTAAATATCAAAAGGAGATATATTATATTTTTTAGAATGATTTCTAAAAGTTTCATTATTTTGTCTTTTGGTGGTACTGGAATTTCATAATTAGTTTGATTAAAGTTATAATATTCAGTGGTCGTTCAGTTGTTTGTAAAATTTCAAATTGAAGATTACTGTACATACTTTTTGCATCATTTGTTCTCATGGTTATTAAATAGTAGTTTTCTGGAGGCTTATGTGGTCTCAATCATGTTTATGAAACTTAAAGTAACCTTCAAACATGTAATCACGAAAAGGAATGAAAAACCAGAAAGGGTTTTATGGACTGCCCTGTTGTCATGACTGTGTCCTTGCCACTAATGTCTTTCAGTTCATTAGTGGTTGACCAAATTTGACCGTTCACCATTTATATATTACATAAGGTAAATTGTGTTTCTAAATTCCAACATTATTTGAGTATGAATTAAAAATTGATTATTATCAGAAATTGAATGGCAGCATGCTCTCTGATGATTCTGAATTATAATTGTACAATTTTGTATAATACTTGAGCATGTCATACATAGTATTACTGTAAAACTTGTCCTACATATAATAATAAGAAGATCTGGTATAATTGCCAATGAGACAACTCTCCACCAGAGACGAAATGACATAGAATTTAACAACTATGGGTGACTGGTCACCGTACAGCCTTCAACAATGAGCAAAACCCATACTGCATAGTCAGCTATAAAATTAAATGAACATGTATAACTATTACTTATGTAGAATTTCTCAAACATACAGATGGATAAACATTGATAAATGCAGAGTACTGTACACCAAAAAAGTGCATATTTACAAAATGGTATATTTTCAGGTTTTCCTTACAATTACAGGGAGGTGTACAAAGGTTTGTGTAAAAAAAAACCATTTGATGAAAAAAAATCTTTAAAGGTTATCGATTTTTGAAAATTATTATCCATTGATCAAAAATTTTCAATAATAATGGATAATCGGAAAATTAATATGTTGCACACACAAAAACAGTATTATACAGTTATACCAGGAGCTATCTTAAAACTTTTTTCTGTTTTAAATTTTGTTTTCCTTTGAACATGTTGAAACTTCACAGCTTAGAAGCAATAATTTACAAAATACACACAAGACTTTTACTAATTTGAACATTTTTTTTTTTCTTTTTTAGTACTAAAAGCCACTCCAGTTGTTGCACAGTGTCAGAGATTACAGACAACAGACTCTACAAACCAAACATCTCGTAATTATTATTTTTACTGTTAAAGCAAAAATTTTTGTTGGGGTTTTAATTTCTATTATTGACCTGGAAAGAAACTATCTACTAAAATTAAAACCCAAACGAAATTTTAATATTACGTTTACATACTGTACCAATGAAACCACACACAAATATATGTTTCTACTGTTCTTGATTCTGCAAATAAATGCGATTATGTGAAATTAAAGAAAAGGATAATGGATAGGGTAAGCAGATACATGTACATTGAGATACCCGTAGTATACAATAAAACATCACCAAAATACACCATATAAGACCATAAGATTCATTGCTATATTGTAACCATTGGAAAAGCTGTATATGGTACATTAGACAGCTATATTGTTGTAACCTTTCAAAAAGCTGTATATTTATATGTACCAAATTCAGGCTTGTATAGTCCATGGTTTTATTCTCCAAAATTGAACCTGCCAGACAGGGGTGCGGATTATAGAGTACGATAAGCAAGAAGTAAGTGAAAACTTGATTTAATGAGGTTTGTTTAAATTCCGCCATGTTTGTTATTGAAATTGTAGAGGGTGCTCTTATCGTTTTCAAAACTTATAATTTACCTAATCCATATTAATATGCAATTTTTGTACACAATCTAATATAAACTAATAAATTTCAAAATTGAATGCGTCATTAAAAATTTCTCGTTTCTTTTCACTGCATTTTATAAAATAAACTGGAATTTGCTTGAAATTAATGGAAGGAAAAAAGTGTATCAGTCAGCTGGGAACCAGCTTACAGTATATAAACTACAAAACGTAATGGGTTATTAGTTCCGGTTTGGTGTTTTGTTTTAGCTTAAGATCCTTTAAACATTAATGTGATGGATATTTTAAACATTATTTTACTTAAGGATGGAACTATTTTACTTTCACAGTCGTATTCTAGTGATATCTAATAAGTACGGATTTTACGTACATTCTTACCATATTTATTATCAATTTACACGTGCCATTCGAACTGCCGCTTAAAATAATAAGTTTCTCAATTATTTTTTTTTTTGTGATTTTGACATTTTAACACTCCTGAAGTTTTCTAGAATCATCTTAAAGCATTTTCTACTTCTTCTAATTGATGATGGAAAACAGGTTTTTCCCTGAAAATACTGCAAATGATCAAACATGATTTGAAATTACCGGATTTTCATTAGACCTGTTTGACCAGTTACAAAACGTTTTTTTACCTGAATTCTTGTGGCGAGAAAAGGGGTGCAGACAATGTATCTATATGAACTATACAAGGTAGATTACGGTAGCATAATTTTGTAAAAGAAAAAAGGTGTACATAAATATACCCATAAAAACATGACAAATTAGTAGTACAAACCCACTTATGAATTGTAAGTAATCTCTGTCTACTTTTAACAAATTTTTTTTTATGTTTTCAGGCATGATAATTGAAAAAATCATAGTACTGTAAATAGTTCTGTAACTTCTCATTTTTCTCACAATTTGCATCTTTTTGGTCACATTTTAACAATAAATATTATTAAAATGTATGGTCTTTTTTGATTGATTGTATCTGAATAACACACAAGGATATTAGTAACATGTATATTATATTAGTACTGCATACATAATAATATTCAAGTACATCACATGTACAAATGTACATCTAAAGCAAAAACAGTGACAAAATCATTCCCAATATTTGGGATGAGGTGTTATGTGAAATTGGCACTTTATAGGATTTTATACTAAATGAATGTGTGTGCTTAAAAGTTACAATATCCTAAAACAGAACATTTATCATGATTATATTGTCTTTTAAATTAATGACAAATCCTATGAACTTCTTGACCAGAATAGGAAAATTGCAGTATATGTATAAGGTGTTTTGCAAATTGTATGATTTCAAAAATAATATTTGAATAATTCAAACAAATTTAACTTTTAGTATTGTCATGATTGTTTAAAAAAAATGTGAAATGAAAAATAAAATTGAACCATTAAATGAAGGAATGCTTGATAATTGACATCATTGAAGAGAGGTAAATAGACTAGATGTCTTTTGTTATTTATGTTGTTGGGTTGGTGTATCATTTATTTCCCACATCACCTTATGTCTATATCAGTGAACACGGTTTTGATATAAATGCTTTGTTCAAGGCATTGGCGAGAATTTAACTTGTAAAATAGTGTTTTTGATTAGCACTTCTAGAAATAAAATCTGGGTTGGTGAGAAATAAGAGCAACAGTGATAGAATTTTTGTAACAAAATTCAAAGCAGTACAAAATTAGTCTGTTATTAATTATGAACTGATAGTCTGGTAAATTAATTATTTGTCCATAATACACTAATCTGGACGAACAACTAAAAATCTCTTATTTCATTATGTTGATAATATGTTAAAATATGTCTATAATAATCTTTGAACCCTTGGATAGATTTAATCCTAGACTTGTTGAAATCAGAAGCATAACTTAAATAATCTTGTATATTTCAGCCACGGTGAGACCTCAGAACTTGCCCTACAGACAGCAGTTGAAAGACTTTGGGCAATATGTAGCTGATTGTCTGCCAAAGTATGTACAACATGTTGTTGTAACTCACCACGAGGAGCTAGAAATACTGATACATCCAGAAGGCATTGTACCAACTATTTCATTCCTCAAGGATCACCATAATACACAGTATTTAAATATAACAGATATCGCTGCTGTTGATGTACCCACACGTGAAAAAAGGTTTGAGGTAATTTACACCACTAACATCGTTATAAAGTACAGATGAAGTATAATATTCAAAAACAGTTCATAAAGTATGGCCACTGAAAAATTGAAACTCCACAAACTTAATTGCTATAAAATTAAAACTACAGAAACAACAGGCGTATTATATAAACACTGTCTTCAACAAAAAATTGAAAGAAAATAGAGCACATTAAATTTCTTTGAAATTCTGTGTTTGCCATTAAGATTGCATGTAATACTTGTCGCTGGATTCTAACCAATCATACATACTATAATCTATGTTGGTTTACTTTCAGATTGTCTATATGTTATTATCACTACGATTTAATTCTCGTATTAAAGTGAAGACTTACACAGATGAATTGACTCCTATAGATTCCCTATGTTCTATTTTTGCTGGAGCAAACTGGTATGAAAGAGAGGTAAGATAAAAGTACCAATGTTATATGTGTTTTTGTAATACAACAGCCCCCTGTTGTAAGACCCATCTTAAGTAAGAGATCACTGCAGTGTGTTCTCATCAAATTTACACACAACTGCATTATGTACATGTGCACAAGTAAATAGTAATTGATGCTTCATAATCGGATATGGCACAATTTTATAAACCATATGCCATTCCATGACAGTATGTATAGTATAGTACTTTGAGCTGTGTAGTTTATTTTTTACCAAATCGAAGATATATTCACACTATAAAAATTTAATCACATGGCACTCCATGACAGTATATATAGTTGAACAGTACTTTTAGAGTCCTTTGTTATTTTTTACCAAATATAAGACATAATCACAAGTAATTCCAAATATTCATAATTTTGTAATAAAGATATGTGCCAAAATGTGACGACAAGCTATTAATTCAGACTTTTATAAATCTTGATTTAGACAAAAGATGTAAAGAAACTGTTTTGATTTCTATTTTTTTCAGTAAGAATCATTTCTGTTGTACAAGATAAATTTAACAAAATATGGTATTAATATATGGAATTATTTTGTCATTTTAGATCTGGGATATGTTTGGAGTATTCTTTGCCAACCATCCTGACTTGAGAAGAATTCTAACAGATTATGGATTTGAGGGACATCCATTTAGAAAGGATTTTCCACTAAGTGGATATGTAGAAGTAAGTTTATCAGACAAGGGCAATAACCCTGAATGTATAATTAGAACAGTCAAGTAAATATTTCAATTGATTTTTTATAATCAACTGAATTTTTAATGTTTTACATATTAATATAGATTATCTGCCTTTCAAAAATATGATTTTTTTCTGCTCATAATTGTAACAATGTTTGTCTTTCTTTAAAGAGATCATTAATGGTTGTGATGAGGTAGGTTGAACAGTATAAACCAAGTTTGGCTTGCCCATCATTCCCGAGTGATTGATTTAAAAATCTTTCTAATCTTATAATTTGTGTCTCAGTTTGTGATAAGATCAATATGAAATGAAATACTCTTGATATTTGGCCAGTTTTAAGAATCACTGTATCAATTTGTAAAATCTCAGTACTATTACATAGACTACAGAAATGATAAATACAAATATTTTATTCAGTCTTATAAAATTTAATGATGCTATAAGTCTTTTCAATGTTTATTTGTTAGATTCAACAAATTAAATAATTTTTGCAATAGCAAATCAACTTTTTCTCTCTTTCTCTCTCCTCTGCAAATTTTAGACCTGATGCTATTTTCTTTCTGTTTCAGTTTATATGCATACTTTTCTTTGATTGAACTGATTCTTCACAATATAAACCCATTACTCATCAATTAGATTAGGGTTGTAGAACTTAAAAAAAAAAGGTGATGAAGTCCTCTGGCTTGATAAATGGAGAAAAAACAATTGATTGACCTTCATCATCAGAAAAATGGATCAACTAAAAAACAGTGACACTTAACCATGTTAACAGTAAACATGACTTCAATAAAGGAATTGTTATCATGTCACATGCTTATGGGTCTATCCAATGGAAGAAGTCATATCAATGATTGTCCTTGCTATACCTGAGTGTTTTAGTCACTTAAAGTATTTGGTGTTGTTATCAGGTCTTAGATTATCTCAGAACAGTAAAGTTTGACCTATGGTACAGACACATGTATATTGTTGAAGACTGTATATTGGCTTGTAGATGTCTTTCCTGGTTTTATTGGGCTCCAGGTTTTTGTCTTAATGGTGTTACCCTACATCCCTTGTCCATCATAACAATACAGAACAGAGCAAAAACTCTCTTTTAAGTTCAAGTTGATAAAATATTAGAATGTGCAACTGTATTTTACATGACAAAAAATATAATAATTAAATAAAAAATACTGATTTATATCAATTTGTAAAACACCCTAATTATTACTTTACTTTGTCTGCATGAACAATGGGGAACAATCTTAACCAGTGTTATGTCTACATGATCTAAGCATATTCTAAGACAGGTGAAGTCATTCTGTAAATAGCATCATGTGTTGCCTAACAACAGACATAAGTATAAGGTAGTGCCATCATTTAATTAAGCTCATAATTTAGTTAGATATTTCCAAAAAAGGACAATAAGTAAAAATTCCTTTATTGTTTTGTAGGTTAGATATGATGATGAGGTCAAAAGGGTGGTCGTAGAACCCTTAGAATTAACACAAGAATTTAGAAAATTTGAATATAATACACCGTGGGAAGTATTTCCTAAGTTCCGTGAAGTGGAGGAAGGTGGTGAGAGACCAGCTGAGGAAGAACCTAAACAATGACAATAATAGTTCTTGTATATTATCATAGATGTTTGTCTATAAATTAAGATTAAATGTGATGTTTTAAATTGTCTGTGAAATTCATCTGTCTAGAAAGTTAGATCCAGGAAATCAGCTTCCATCAGTCTTGACGGTTCAATCAGATGCTTGCAACTTTATGATGATTATATATAGTATCACCTCAAGAATAACATTGAATTAGTCTCATCACATGATTAATTGTTATCCTCTGTCTCTGATATTGATAGATTTTCAATATATTAGATTCTAAGAATAAAAGCTGCTTTCCTACCAAAAACAATTGAGCAGATGTGAATGAGACAAAATCTTATACACTTCAAGGCACAAACAGGCAATGATCAATTTATGACATTTGGTTATAAGTGCATTATCACACCACACTGCATGCTTAAGATGACCTTGTGGAAAAGAGAAAATGGTTTTATATTGATAGAAATATTTTCCTTCAGCAATACATGAAAAATTATAACAAACAACTAAGAAAGTAAAACGTAAAACAAAATAGCCATTAAACATTGGAGTAAAGGCATGAGTGATGCAAAAATAAATGTGGCAAAGTGAAAAAAATGATGCAAATATATCATGTTTCATGTTCAAATAGGTGCAAGTTCATATACATGCACATCAGTACACAATGAAAATAAAGCACTATAAATATAATGCCTACAGGTTGCTCTTTGTAAATACAGCTGTTTCTCAAACCACGCCTCTTTTGGGGAGATATAGAATATTCATAGATAATTAATTTTGTTTACTTACTGGTTCCAAGTTATGATCTCTAGGTTTCATCTCATAGAGACATAACTTGGGAATGTTACCAGTAAATATACATATTCATATTGTCTATATAGAAATCTGTGGTAATCCTACTGTCAAGGTAGGGATAGTTAAGAAATTTAGTGTTAGTTTAAACTCTTAGAATTTCGGGGCATATAAACGTTGAAAATATGCCGCACAGCCCTATATTTTGACCTTTGAAAAAAATTGTAGTGCATATGAACTTTCCATTCTAGGATATGATTTTTTTCAAAACTTCATAATAAAAGTGGTACAGTTTTAGCAGTAAAAGGAGTTTCTATGGGAAATTGCATTGTCAATATTTACAGAAATGCAACCTACAGTTACTGTCAAAGAAACAGACAGAGGACATATAAAATGAGATTCAGATCATGTTTTCTTCATTTGGGATATTGAAGTAAACACTTCCTCTTTGACAAGTAATTTTCTACTAACTTGTCATTTAAATAATGCAAGCTTATCCCCCTCTATTTGTTCAGTTGATTAGCTTACCCTGCTCAAAAAGACCATTTATGCAGCATTTCCTTTTATTCTTCAAATTTCATTTTGTGATGCTGTGGACTACCCAACAGGTCACTACTGTGAATAGTTCATAGGGATGATTCAGCAATTTTGAATCATTATAAATGAGTATTTTAAAAAAAATGAAGCAGTATCGTACTTTTTTAAGGAAGTTCTTTAAGGAATAATTACTTTGGCTTTTTGCAGGAGAGTTGCTTAGATTTGAAGGTCAGTTTAATATTTGATAACCCATCCCAAACTGGAATATTGAACCATTGTGGATTATAGTTTGTGTCTGTTGATTCTAATAATCAATGAAACATGGCCATAGAACCTAGATAGCATTAAGTGTTGATTGATTTAGCTGTAAATCTACTAGAACACAAAGATCAGTCAATACCAAGGGGCAAAATATAAATCACAGGGATTGATCTAATAGAACAAAAGATACTACACAGAAACCAATGTTCCTATAGGTGATATTGAAGCTAACACAATACCAAAACTAGTTAAAATAACCATATCAATTATTCAATAAAAGTTTTTTATGCCCCCGCCGTAGCGGAGGAGGCATTAAGTTTTACCATACGTACATACGTCCCAAAATTGGTTTCCGTTCTCTAACTTCAGTTTGCCTCAACCAAATGTTATGAAACTTATACACAATGCTTATTACCACAAAACACAGATCAAGTTTGATTATTGGTGGCGTCACTTTTACCGTTCTAGAGTTATGATCCTTTACAAATGGAAAAATTGCTGAATTTTTCGTTTCCATTCTCTAACTTTAGTTTGCCTCAACCAAATGTTATGAAACTTATACACAATGCTAATTACTGCAAAACACAGACCAAGTTTGAATTTTGGTGGAGTCACTTTTACCGTTCTAGAGTTATGATCCTTTACAAATGGAAAAATTGCTGAATTTTTCATTTCCATTCTCTAACTTTAGTTTGCCTCAACCAAATGTTATGAAACTTATACACAATGCTAATTACCGCAAAACACAGATCAAGTTTAAATTTTGGTGGCGTCAATTTTACCGTTCTAGAGTTATGATCCTTTACAAATGGAAAAATTGCTGAATTTTTCATTTCCATTCTCTAACTTTAGTTTGCCTCAACCAAATGTTATGAAACTTATACACAATGCTAATTACTGCAAAACACAGATCAAGTTTAAATTTTGGTGGCGTCACTTTTACCTTTCTAGAGTTGAGCCCCTTTACAAATGGAAAAATTGCTGAATTTTTCGTTTCTGTTCTCTAACTTTAGTTTGCCTCAACCAAATGTTATGAAACTTATACACAATGCTTATAACCACAAAACTCAGATCAAGTACAAATTTGGGTAGCGTCACTTTTACAGTTCTTGAGTTATGTCCCTTTATAATGTTATATGCAAGCGGGGGCATCATCTGTGTCCCATGGACACATTCCCCATTTATTTCTTTAATATTTATGCTTATCATAACAGCATTTTTGTACATTAGCAGATGTAGTTCATCTTACAATACATTATTTTGAAGGTGACTACCTTATTTGGTCTTTACTGATTCTTTGAATAGCCTTTATGGACCAAATAACTTCAAAAATTAGTATGTAAAGAATCATGAATATGAGGATAAGGTCAGGTGACCCTGGTCAATCAGACACGAACATCTTACAATGATTCTGCAGACAAATATAGTTGACCTAATCCTATTATTCAATGTTACCAAAAATATGTCAACATCAGGTGAACCGCCTTGTGCTGGTACACTATGCCAGACAGTGGGCACAACATAAAAAAGAAGATATAGATACTAGTTCTCCTTCTGAATGGGTTAAGGCTTTGATGTTGATACAAATTGGAACTCGAGGATAGTGATGGGAGCCGTAACAGATCACAGGCACTTTGGCACAGGATTTGTACATTTTTATTGTTCATTGTTTGCTCTGAATATTAAATTTCTATTTTCATACAACAAACTTTACACTACTATGCTTATCTTACATCGTTTTGTTTACACTACTATGCTTATCTTACCTCGTTTTGTTTACACCTCTATGCTTAGGGGACGACCATTTGATATTCTGGGGGGGGGGCCAGGAGGATTTGTTTTGGATCGGTTATTTATTTTTGTAAACTAAGAGGACAGGTTATCTATTTTCTGCACTATTGAAGCAAGATTTTTCATTTTCATTAAAGCAAGGGACTGATTATTTATTTTCACAACTATATTTATAATATTCGAAAACATACAATTTTTAAATTATTTGTTTATTATAAATAATTCATGTATAGTCAATTAAGTCATTATGTACCATTTAATCAGATTTAATTATTATCCTCAGAAATGAATCTTCTATATCCCCCAATGCATATACATGTATTGCATACATACACAGTATTAAAGTTTGGTTGTAACTAAGGCTCTTTTAAAAGTATTGGCAAACATGTTTCGCCGAGCGGTGCGAGGAAAAATTTTTTCTGAAGGGTTTTTGAACCGCTGAAGGCCCAAGAAGCTATAGAACAAATGATGCAAAATCATGCCTTCTGGGTGTTCCCCAGACACTTTCTTAAACTGAAAATGCAAGTTCTGTTTTAATAATTTTATGACAATATTTTGGTATCAAAGCAAAATCACGTTATAGATTCAGTGTAAGACTTAAGTTTTTAGGAACAACATCAAAAGACACATATGCATGATAAAGCAAAAATGTAATTCACATAGTTAAGTCTGTGGGTGCTGTGTTTTTTTAAACTCATGATCAAGTTAATAATAAAATTATTAAATTACAAAATGAATGCAACACTAACAGAATAAAGAAGGGCAATCAATGAACAAAAGACAAATAAATAAGAAACATTGATCCAGAAAAATCAGGGGCTACGTCTGAGGGAGAACAGAACTTGTTTCTTGCAAGGCACTCACGGTGAACACAATTTGATATGGAGACAAGCGTTTGGTTTTGAAATTTCCTACATGAGGCATTTGTCTCAATGTAGTTACGGCCCTGATTTAATAAAAGTGAGGTAAGTGTTCCTGAGACAATTAACCTCAAGTTAAATGAAACCAATTTTCTGACATTTCAAGTATATTTAAATAATATTTATACTTTTATTATTAAAAGATATGGGAAGTGTTTCCCGATTTTTTTTTTGGAAAAAAGATGAATTTATGAAGAATCTGGTGCCATCTCATACTTTCGATTAGACCTGCTGAGTTATTTATTTTCAATACATTGCAAGTCAGGTAATTTATTTTCAAACTACCACAGAACAAACCATTTATTTTTGTGATTATCAAGGCTGAGTTATTTATTTGCAAAATCCTCCTGCCCCCCCCCCCCCCCCCCCCCATCAATTTTATCAGAGTTGATAAATTCATTAAAAAGAAGGTAGTAAAGGGGACCACCATTTGATATTCTTTCAGGCAGGAGGATTTTCTGTGGATTGAGTTTCCTTTAAAATTTCAACTAAAGACATAGAACTGGACTATTCATTTCTATCTTTTGCTGTGCATGCTTATTTATTTCCGTATCCATGCCACACTAAAAAATATGTTCGCTTAAATACACAACTGTTTCCTGCATTTTGTGTTGCAGAATATTCATTTTCATCCTGTCTTATGCAAGTTTTTTTTAAAGTTCTTATCAGACCAGAATACCCCCATCCCCTCTTTGATTGTAAGGTGTACTAGTCTCTCTGGCAGATTTCATCTGACCTTGACCTCATTTTCGTGGTTAATTGGACAATGTTAAGAG